CATCCCTATTCCTATCGGGTAACCCTAACCCTAGCTTCCAAATGGCTGGCTGGCAGGCACGCTGATGACAGACATGCCTATCACTCCAAATAACACCTTTCCCAGTAGCCTTACCCTGAACCTAACCACTCCCACACCTGCCTACACACAACCAACCACCTCAGACACTCCAAAACAGTCAACATACAAACCTGTCCCAATCCACTCCAAATGGCCCCAAACGTGCTCCTAAACACTTTCTGAAAAATCCCATACTAGGGCTGACACTTTGAAATTTTCCAACAACCAGTCGCCCCATTGGCAATGAATGGACACACTCAAACGGGAATAACTCCGGAACCGAACGTCGCAGACACGGAAACGCGCCGTCGCCAAACCACCCCCCCCCCCGTCTGCCATAATCCGACCCTTCTGAACACGCAGGACTTGTCCCCGAGTCTCTACGACCTACGGTTGCCGAGATACAAGGATTTTCACCTCTATTTCCGGAATTACGCCCACTTCCGGTTATCACCGGAAGTCGAGACTGACACCCAAAGAAGCGGAAGGAAAAAATGAACAGATTGAACCTGCTTTGAACTCTCTACAACCTTCCTGTGAGGAGAAACATGCTCATTAGACCAATGTCTAATGTTGCACTCATCCCTATTCCTAACCCTAACCCTAACCCTAACCCCCTAACCCTAACCCTAACCCTAACCCTAAACCCTAACCCTAACCCTAACCCTAACCCTAACCCTAACCCCCTAACCCTAACCCCCTAACCCTAACCCCCTAACCCTAACCCTAACCCTAACCCTAACCCCTAACCCTTTTAATTTGAAAAAGACATGGGAAATGGCAGTTGGAGAAAGTCACTACAATGGAGGAATAACACGAATTTTCAGAAAGGGAGGGGCTCAGAGTACAAAAGGGAGCAGCGGACATTTTTGAATTCAGTTTGGCACGGCCCTCTGAGGGAGCCACATCTCCCCAGAGGGGCTCATAGTTAGGGGATACTCACCTCAACTAAACTAAATACTTACCTCAAATAAATTAAATACTTACCTCAACTTAAAGGAATACTTACCTAAACTAAAGGGGATACTTACCTCAACTAATAGGAATACTTACCTCACTTTAAGGGGATACTTACCTCTAAAATCACAAGAAAACCACCTGTATGTCATGGCAGCCTGAAGAAGTCCCAAGAAGCGGACGAAACGTCGCGAGCGAACGCCACCTGACATACAAGAGAGAGAACATAACATGAGAAAAGGAGGACCCACATATTTATACTTCATATAACAAAGGCGAACCAGTCTAATATAACTCAGATAGTGAGATTATAAAACCTCTTTTGAGAAGATGGGGACGGAGAGCTGGCCATCCACAGTGGTGGCGAGTGCACTTTGGGGGCCTCCACTTAGGTGGAGACCCCCACCCCAACCCAAACCTAACCAGCCAGGGCCTCCTGTGGATCAATGGTCAGTGCTCCTACCCATGCTAAGCTATAATAAGCTAACCCAGTCTTAATCCCATCTAACCCCAGCCCATATATTTCTGAACTAACCCTAACCAATTGGACCCTAACTAAGCCCCCTTGAGGCCCTAACCCCAAATCCTAGGCCCTATTCAAATCTAGTCCCCACTCTGGCTCCAAAATACTGGCCTTAATTTATCTTTAAACCTCAGTGAAGGACATTCTAAGCTCATATAATGGATGAAGCCACTAAATAAAGTAGGCATTTAAATCCCATGGATGAAGTGTAGCCATTAAAGGGAGGCACACATACCCAGTGAACAATGTGTTAATCATAGATATGAACACTATTTAAATTAAAGGCAAAGAATTGGAACCAGAAACAAAGGATTTTAATTTGAAAAAGACATGGGAAATGGCAGTTGGAGAAAGTCACTACAATGGAGGAATAACACGAATTTTCAGAAAGGGAGGGGCTCAGAGTACAAAAGGGAGCAGCGGACATTTTTGAATTCAGTTTGGCACGGCCCTCTGAGGGAGCCACATCTCCCCAGAGGGGCTCATAGTTAGGGGATACTCACCTCAACTAAACTAAATACTTACCTCAAATAAATTAAATACTTACCTCAACTTAAAGGAATACTTACCTCAACTAAAGGGGATACTTACCTCAACTAATAGGAATACTTACCTCACTTTAAGGGGATACTTACCTCTAAAATCACAAGAAAACCACCTGTATGTCATGGCAGCCTGAAGAAGTCCCAAGAAGCGGACGAAACGTCGCGAGCGAACGCCACCTGACATACAAGAGAGAGAACATAACATGAGAAAAGGAGGACCCACATATTTATACTTCATATAACAAAGGCGAACCAGTCTAATATAACTCAGATAGTGAGATTATAAAACCTCTTTTGAGAAGATGGGGACGGAGAGCTGGCCATCCACAGTGGTGGCGAGTGCACTTTGGGGGCCTCCACTTAGGTGGAGACCCCCACCCCAACCCAAACCTAACCAGCCAGGGCCTCCTGTGGATCAATGGTCAGTGCTCCTACCCATGCTAAGCTATAATAAGCTAACCCAGTCTTAATCCCATCTAACCCCAGCCCATATATTTCTGAACTAACCCTAACCAATTGGACCCTAACTAAGCCCCCTTGAGGCCCTAACCCCAAATCCTAGGCCCTATTCAAATCTAGTCCCCACTCTGGCTCCAAAATACTGGCCTTAATTTATCTTTAAACCTCAGTGAAGGACATTCTAAGCTCATATAATGGATGAAGCCACTAAATAAAGTAGGCATTTAAATCCCATGGATGAAGTGTAGCCATTAAAGGGAGGCACACATACCCAGTGAACAATGTGTTAATCATAGATATGAACACTATTTAAATTAAAGGCAAAGAATTGGAACCAGAAACAAAGGATTTTAATTTGAAAAAAGACATGGGAAATGGCAGTTGGAGAAAGTCACTACAATGGAGGAATAACACGAATTTTCAGAAAGGGAGGGGCTCAGAGTACAAAAGGGAGCAGCGGACATTTTTGAATTCAGTTTGGCACGGCCCTCTGAGGGAGCCACATCTCCCCAGAGGGGCTCATAGTTAGGGGATACTCACCTCAACTAAACTAAATACTTACCTCAAATAAATTAAATACTTACCTCAACTTAAAGGAATACTTACCTCAACTAAAGGGGATACTTACCTCAACTAATAGGAATACTTACCTCACTTTAAGGGGATACTTACCTCTAAAATCACAAGAAAACCACCTGTATGTCATGGCAGCCTGAAGAAGTCCCAAGAAGCGGACGAAACGTCGCGAGCGAACGCCACCTGACATACAAGAGAGAGAACATAACATGAGAAAAGGAGGACCCACATATTTATACTTCATATAACAAAGGCGAACCAGTCTAATATAACTCAGATAGTGAGATTATAAAACCTCTTTTGAGAAGATGGGGACGGAGAGCTGGCCATCCACAGTGGTGGCGAGTGCACTTTGGGGGCCTCCACTTAGGTGGAGACCCCCACCCCAACCCAAACCTAACCCTAACCCTAACCCTAACCCCTAACCCTAACCCTAACCCTAACCCTTCTTTTTCTTTTTTTTTTTTTTTTTTTTTTCCCTTTTTCCTTTTTTTCCTTTTTTTCCTTTTTTTTTCCTTTTTTTCCTTTTTTTCCTTTTTTCCTTTTTTTCCTTTTTTTTCCTTTTTTTCCTTTTTTTTCCTTTTTTTCTTTTTTTCCCTTCTTGGTCCCCCCCCTTTTTTTGTCCGCCTCTCTCTCTCTCTCTCTCTCTCTCTCTCTCTCTCCCCCCTTTTTTGTCCGTCTCCCTCTCCCTCCCTCTCCCTCCCTCTCCCTCTCTCTCTCTCCCCCTTGCTTTGTCTGGGCCCCCCCCCTTTTTTTGGGTCGGGGTTTCCCTTTACAACTCCCCTCTCCCTCTGTCCCATTGGGATAAGAGGGGGGCGGGGGCGTAGGACTGCATAGTTTTGCAAAGGTGGTGGTTGAGGCACATGCCTGTCTCCTACTACTGTTCCTACTTTTTGAGAGAAGAAAACACTCTCTCTCTCTCTCTCTCTCTCTCTCTCTCTCTCTCTCCCCCCTTTTTTCTCTCTCTTTTTTTTTTTCTTTTTTTTCTCTTTCTCTCTCTCTCTCTCTTTCTTTTTCTCTCTTTCTTTCTTTCTCTCTCTCTCTCTCTCTCTCTCTCTCTCTCTTTCTCCCCCCTTTTCTGTCTCTCTCTCTCTCTCTCTCTCTCTCCCTCCCCTCCCTCCCTCCCTCCCTCCCCTCCCTCCCTCTCTCTCTCCCGTTCTCTCCCTCTCTTCTTCCCCCCCTTTTTCTTTTTTTCTCCTTTTGTTGTCTCTCTTTTTTTGCCTGGATTTCCTTTTTTTGGTCTGGGTTTCCTTTTTCAACTCCCCTCTCCCTCTGTCCCATTGGGATAAGAGGGGGCGGGGGGGGCGTAAGGACTGCATAGTTTTGCAAAGGTGGTGGTTGAGGCACATACCTGTCTCCTACTACTGTTCCTATTTTTTTCCCCCCTTTTTTTCCCCCCTTTTCCCCCCCTTTTTTTTTCCAAGGCTTGGGGTCTTTTGCGCACGTGCGCGCGCGCTCTCTCTCTCTCTCTCTCTCTCTCTCTCTCTCTCTCTCCCCCTTTTGGTTCCCTCCTTTTTTCAGGTTGGGGGGTGGAGTGTGTAGGGATGCATATTTTACAGGGTTGGGGCTGAGGCACATTTCTGTCTCCCATGATTGTTCCTATTTTTACACACGCTCTTTCTTTTCTGGTTCTTCATTCGTAGTTTGTGAGAATATTCACGCTGGGACGATGGAGAGATGGAGAGGGGGGAAGAGGATGGGGGGAGAGAGAGAGGGGGAAGAAGAGGGGGAGGGGTGGGAGGAGGGGGAGAAGAGGAGATGGAAGAGGAGGGGAGTGGGTGGGGAGGGGGTGATCGTAGGGGACCAGTTGGGGTGGGTCCACCAAGGACGGACTTTCAGAATTTGGTACGGGCCATGAACAAACTGCTGAGGGTTCAGCATCACTTGGCGTTGGTGCGGAGATCGGGGGAGATCGGCAGGCTCCCAGATTCTTTGATAGGATGGTGACCTGGATGGGAATGGCCATCCAACCAGCCCAACCAACGGCGGATACGGGAATGTGGCTGCAGGGCAATAACAGAAACTGGGCACACACAAGCCTCCAGATCTTAGAGGAACACTATATAGAAGAGACACAGAGATTAAGCAGAATTTTGGCAGAGCTCCCGAAGGAACAAGGCCAGACAGCTTGGGTGGTGGCGAGAAGATGGGCGGAACGTATTATTCGGAACCTCGGGGAGGAAGCTCTAAATAAAACTGTGGAAATTCTCCAGGGCATAGGTTTTACGGATCTGATGCCGGTACCCTCGGCTCCATTTAGAGGGAGGAATAGCTCACGGCGGAGGGGCCGGCAGGGTTCCCCCAGACGATCACGGAGCCGGTCTAGAGTAGAGGTTGGGAATAGAGCAATACCAAGGGGGGAAGTGGCTCAGGGTGGGGCACGGGAGGGCAGCTCGGCGGTTGGTGGGGTTAGGGGGTAGGGGAGGTAGGGGGGGAGGAGGAGGGGGGGCAGGGAGGAGTAGTTGCTCCACCAGTGGGGATGGAGGCAGAGGAACAAGGACCTGGGGGAGAGAATGACCAGACGGAGACGGGGGCGCAGAAAAAATCAGTTATTCAGAAGATGCAAAGGTTAACCATTCGCCCAGGGGAGCAAGTTGCCCATCAGTAAATAGGAAAATATGTTAAATATAATGGATGGCTATGGGTCCATTTGGACCCGGTAGGACATTTTGGTTTATAGATTTGAGTTACATTTGAGATGGGGGATTTACGAGGTTTTTGCTGGTGATTTGGTTGACTCACTAGAACATTTTAGTTGTAAAAACCCACTACTGGTTATGGTTAATAAAGTGGATTATCGGTTGGATTATGGGCAGGAGCTAGGAGGATGAAAGGGTACTCGACCGACGTTTGCCGGATAAGAGTCCGAGTCTGACTTCTCCAAATTGGCCCGTTGATTCAAGGCTTAATTCTTTTGCTTGAAAATACAATAAGGAGGGGAGGTTATTACAAAACAATTGGATGGGTGTAGTATAAACTCTTTTTATCGTGTGATAGCATTAGCCGTAGTGGGATAGTGGTGTGGGGGTGTGTGGACATTAGTCTTTATTTTCCAGTGCCTGGGCCCTGACCCTTACCCTAACTCCACCTTTTTATAGAAGCAGCCTTAGTGGGATACCTCCCAGTTTTTTTCTCTCTTTTTTTCTTTTTTTCTCTCTCTCTCTCTCTCTCTCTCTCTCTCTCTCTCTCTCTCTTTTTTTTTTTTTTTCTTTTTTTTTTTTTCTTCTTTCTTCTTTCTTTTTTCTTTTTCTTTCTTCTTTCTTCTTTCTTTTTTCTTTCTTCTTTCTTCTTTCTTCTTTCTTTTTCTTTTTTCTTTTTCTTTTTTTTCGGACCCTTAACAGTTTTCTGACCGGATAGCGGTATGTTGGGTGTCAGGTAGTATAGTGGGGAGAGTGTAGGACTTTGGTACACAGGTCCAGGGTTCGAGTCCGGTTGGGGCTGAGGGTTGGGTACACATATTTGGGTAGATGGCCGGAGGGGCTCTAAGTCCAACCCTAATCAGAATGGGGGCTTGAAGTTTTGGGTTATTGCCCCTTTTCTGACCCTTTTAACCCCCCCTTTTTTGTCGCGTGGTCACATTAGTCCTCGGGAGATAGTGGTGGGGTTAGGGGGGATCACCTCTTTTAACCTGGCCCTGACCCTAACCCTAACCCTAACCGTGTCAGGGAGTGTGTAGGCAGGTGGCCTGAGGGGTTCTAAGCCTAACCTTTACCAGGATGGGGGCTTCACTTCTCTGGTTATTGACCCCTTTCTGACTCCTTTAGTTCCCCTTTTCCATTAGTCTCCCTTATGTATCGTGGTAGCATTAGCCGTAGTGGGATAGTGGTGTGGGGGTGTGTGGACATTAGCCTTATTTTTCAGTGCCTGGGCCCTGACCCTTACCCTAACTCTACCTTATTATAGAAGCAGCCCTAATGGGATACCTCCCAGTTCTTTTTTTCTCTTTTTCTTTTTTTCTTTTTTTCTTTTTTTTCTTTTTTCGGACTCTCTACAGTTTTCTGACCGGATCGGGGTATGTTGGGTTTCGGGTAGCATAGTGGGGAGAGTGTAGGACTTTGGTACACAGGTCCATGGTTCGAGTCCGGTTGGGGCTGAGGGTTGGGTACACATATTTAGGTTTTTTCTCTTCTTTTTCTGTTTTCTCTTTTCCTTTTTTTCCTCTTTCTTTTTTTCTTCCTTTTTTTCTTCTTTTTTTTCTTCTTTCTTTTCTTCTCTGTTTTTTTCTCCTTTTCTTCTTTCTTCCCCCTTTTTTTCTCTCTTTTTTTCTCTCTTTTTTTCTCTCTTTTTCTCTCTTTTTTCTCTCTCTTTTTTTCTCTCTCTTTTTTTCCCCCTTTTTTCCCCCCTTTTTTTCCCCCTTTTTTTCCCCCCTTTTTTTTTCTCTTTTTTCTCTCTTTTTTCTCTCTTTTGTTCTTCTTTCCTTTTTTTCTTTTTTTCTTTTTTCTCCTTCCTTTTTTCTTCCCCCCTTTTTTTCCCCCTTCCCCCCTCCCCCTTTTTCCCCCCCTTTTTTTCCCTTTTTCTTTTTTTTCCCCTTTTTCCCTCTCTTTTTTTCCCCCTTTTTTCCTTTTTCCCCCTTTTTTCCCCCCTCCCCTCCCTCTTCTTCCTTTCTCCCCTCTTTCCTCCTCTTTCCTTTCCTTTCCTCTTCTCCTTTTTCCCACCCTTCCTTCTCTTCCGTCTTCTCCTTCCCCCTTCCCCTTTTCTTTTCTTTTCTTTTCTTGTCTTTTCTTTTCTTTTCTTTTCTTTTCATCTCTTCTCCCCCTTTTTTTCCTCTCCCCCCCTCTTTTTCAGGCTGCTAGATATAGGGGGTCGGGGTTGATAGTTTTTTAGCTGACTGATGGCGCAAGGGGTAGAGAGGGGGCACCGGAATGCGGAAGCCTAGGGTTCGAATCTCACTCAGGGGAGACCAGGAAATAGTGACAGTATATATTTCCTTACTACGGCCATAGTCCTAATTGGATAAACGGCCATGGAAGGGTTTGTTTATAAGCCCGGCATAAACGCCTTTCACTATAAACGCCTCCATTCTAACATGAATAATAGTCCTACGGGGTCACAATTGTTACTATTCTATGTAATGTGACCTAGCGCTGGAATCTGGGATGAAGAGGTTCATTTATGTTGGTTTGATTCGAATCTAAAAAGTTATTCCAAACCGCTATTCATCCCTGTTTTGCCCTAATCATAATTCTGGGGGGCTATGGGGGTAGGGTGAGTGGGAAATCCCAGGAACCCTTGTTTTGGGATAAGACATTGACTTTTTACAGGAAGAAGGAGGCTTTTTGCAAAAAAAGGGGGATGGATGGTCAGCACAGGTACTGGGGTCGTGGTACAGAAGGAGGTGCAAGGGGCGGGGTTAGGGGGTGGGGCAGAGTGGAAGAAAAGAGATCACCACGGTAGGGGGAGGCTGGGTTCTGGGTTTAGGTATTGAGAGTGGGGTAGGGGTAGGATCTTGCAGGTTGGAAACAATTATTGGTGAGTACCCGGGTGGCGGGGTGGGTAGTGATTCCTGGGGTCGTGCGGTGTATGGTGGCACAGGAGGAGAGGGGGGGTTGTCTTTCAGGAATAGTTATGGGAGACCTAGTTCTCAACCCTGAATGCCCGGACCAGAGCTACCTTGCGGTGTTAACAACTGGTCTGTGGTGCGCAGGGGGTAAGTATGCGTATCCCACTGGCAGTACCTATACAGTCCTTGGCAGTATTTTCTTAGAACTTGTTATGTCCTCTTTTTCCAGTGGGCGCTTAGCATCTAGTACGAGGGGGTAGTTTTTTTTGGGGGTGGGTAAAAGGTTGGGATTTAGTTTTTCGAGGCTTGCGAGATACTGAAGATTTCCTTGCCAATTACTTTAGAGCAGATCCGGACTTATCTCAGTTTCTGCGATGTACCTAATACTCATTTGTAAGTTAATTAGAGTGTATCCGTACTTATCGTATGTTGCACTCACGATATGCCTAGCATTGGTTTGTAGCTTGTTGGAAACTATCGGGTCTTATTTGGTGGTACTGACGATATGGTTAATGCATATCCAGACTTATTGAGCTCGTACTCGCGGGTATTTAATACGTATATCGAGACCTCTTGAAGTTGGACTTGCGCGTATCTCATATGTATAGCCAGGCTTATTGTGGTTGGACTTGCACGTATCTAATTTATATATCTAGGCTCCTTGAAGTTGGACTTACGCCTATCTTACATGTATATCCAGGTTTATTGTGGTTGGACTTGCACGTATCTAATTTATATATCTAGGCTCCTTGAAGGTGGACTTACGCGTATCTTACATGTATATCCAGGCTTATTGTGGTTGGACTTGCGCGTATCTAACATGTGTATCCAGGCTTCTTGAGGTTGGACTTGCGTGTATCGAATATGTATATCCAGGCTTATTGAAGTTTTACTTACGATATATCTAATACTTATCAGGACACACCCTGGGGATTGATCAACCCCGGCGGGGCCTCCCTTGGGTGAGGGTGTCTAGTGATAATGGCCGAAACACCCGAGGATCCCAAGGTCCACTACTGACGATGTGTTCCAAAAACAGGACGATGGTTCGTTTGGTCTGATAACCCGAATGGGTGTAGATATTTGCGATAGGACTATTGGTTCTCACTCACGTCGAGGTTTGGTTGGATTTTGAGAGTGGCAATGCTGTTGGTTTCCTGAGTGGTCTCACTCAGAGGGCGGCAGGGGCCAGTCGGGTGGGGGGCACAGTTGAGAGAACTCTGAGTGACATGCGCCGGCCCGTGCTTTCCGATGGCTCTCTATTCCAAACTGTGTTCTCGTTAGAGGCACAGGGGGAGTCCATTGAGTTAATTTAAATTCACCCTAACCCTAACCCTAACCCTAACCCTAACCCTAACCCTGGGTAGGAGACTCCAGGCTGAGACTCTGGAGCAGGTGGAGGCCCTCATGGTCGTGCAGCTCGACCCAGACACGGATGGGGGAAAGCCTGACTGCCCGCCACCACCCCCTGCCACAGCTCCGCCACCTGTGTTCGAGAAACAAAAAACACAAACACAACACAGTGTTCAGGCACAAATCCACATCAACGAGGACAACAGGGAATTGGTGGCACTGGAAACACGGGCCCACTCACCAGTAACACCAGCCCCCCTCCCACCCCCCCTCCTCCTCCTCCTCCTCCTCCTCCAGCGGCCTCCCTGGACCTCCTCGGCTTCTTCCAGCAGCAGCCGAGGCCCCAGAGAGTCCTGAGGTTAGCGCCGGCGGCACGTCTACCTGCAAAGGGAGAGGAGAAAAATGATAACTTACCCGAAAATCCTCCTCCGGCGACGATGGCTGCTCCCGCGGTGGTTGCTGCTCCTGTGCAGCTGGCCGCTCCGGCGACTCCTCCCTTGCAGCTGGACGCTCCGGTGCCGGAGGCTGCTCCGGTACAGCTTGCCGCTCCAGCGCCAGCGGCTGCTCCGGGGCAGTTGGCCGCTCCAGTGCCAGCAGTCTCTCCAGCGCTAACAGCCGCTCTGGCACCGACAGTTGCTCCTTTAAACCCGTGTGTGGTCCACAGCCCAGACTCCATCACCTGCCTCTCGGGTGACGGGGATCTGGGAGAGCCCCATAAAGGCCCGTTTGAGGCCTCCACCGCTCAGTCCACTCCGGTTAAAGTCAGGAGCCTTAGAAGAGCAACCCAGAGCAGACTCACGCTGCGGCCTAGACCGACAGCGCCGACCCCAGTGCCTATGCCCAACACCAGGAGACCTACAAAACACATTAACACACAGAACAAAATACAGGATTGGGGCCTCAGCATTGGCAAAGAGTGGGCCTTTATTGGAGACTCTAACTTGGCCAAAATGCCTCCATTTGAAAGCACCAACTTACAAATTGACAGCTACCCAGGAGCGACATTAGCACATGCTAAAACGCTAATGGATAAGGCCACCACCTCCACCAAATTAGAGAAATTGGTCCTCTCTTTTGGCATAAATAACAGAAACGCTGCATCCAAAACAATCCTGACACAGCAGCTATTAGCCACAGTGGAGGCAGCTGAGGCTAAATTCCCTCAAGCGGCCGTTTGGGTCCCTTTAATCAATTATTCCCGTCACTTACCTCTCAAAGAGCAGTCCTGCCTGGTCCACCTGAACGCACAAATCCAAAAAAACTGCCTCTTCATCCCCAGACTGCCCTCCAAATCTTTTGAAACTGGGGCAGATAACATACACTGGACAAAAGCCACCGCCAAACACATGTTTGACCACTGGACGGGGTATTTAAAATGCTCATCCCCATAAGCCTGCACTCTCAGGAGGGGTCAAAAAATGTACTGGTGTTATCACAGACATTCAAATTAACCCAGGCCCAGTTCACACTCCTGGACAGGGGCCTCTCTTTCATCCCCACTAGGGGGAGCCAGAGCCACATCATTGAGCAGAGCAGATGGGACCTGCAGCAATATCACAGGAGAATCAAACTCCATGTTTATTTTCAAAACAAAAAAGATGTGATTTTCACCCCCTTTACCCAAAAATCTGATTGGAGCCCCCCCCTGTCTAATTTGCCACCAGAAATCACTGACCTCATCCAAGCGGATATTCATTATTTTGAAAACAATTTCCAGCCAATCCCAATCAGGAACAACTTGAACCGGGAGGAAATTGAAGCCCTCAAGGAACTAAAAGAAAACAAAAATATAATCATAAAACCAGCAGATAAAGGCAGTGCAGTAGTGGTGATGGACAGGGAACAATATTTATTTGAAGGCAACAGACAGCTAACAGACAAAAAGTACTATTCTGTCTTAAAGGAACCTATCTACCCTGAAACTAAAAAAATGGTGCAACCAATTATCAAATCATTATTAGATAAAAAATTCATAAACAAAAAACAATACACTTACCTGCTGGGTAATCCGATCCCCCGGCCCAGACTGTTTTATCTGCTCCCCAAGATTCATAAAGAGCCCTCAAAGTGGAGTGTCCCCTTTGAAATCCCACCTGGGAGGCCGATTGTCTCTGATTGTGACAGTGAGACCTACTACACGGCCCAATTTATTGATTATTATATCAATCCACTTTCTAACAGACACTTCGGCTATCTCAAGGACACGTACCACTTTGTCAATACTGTCAAACAACTCCATATCCCCCCCCGGCTCCATCCTGTTCACGATGGATGTCGACAGTTTATACACCAATATTGATATTGATGAAGGCATTCAGGCCATAAAAAACATATTCATAAAATTTCCAGACAAAAAGAGACCTGATAAGGAACTATTACAACTCCTGGCAATCAACCTGAGGAGGAATGATTTTGAATTTGACAATAAATTTTATTTACAAATTAAAGGCACTGCCATGGGTAAAAAATTTGCACCGGCATATGCCAATATCTTCATGGCCGAATGGGAGACCTCCGCCCTGGCAACCTGCAACAAAAAACCATTACATTATTATAGATATCTGGATGACATCTGGGGGGTCTGGCCCCACTCTATGGAAGAATTTGACCAATTTGTACTCACCTTGAATAATCACAACCCGTCCATCACACTGAAGTCCACCACTAGCACCACGTCGGTCGATTTCCTGGATACCACCACCTACAAGGGGAGCAATTTCCAGCATACAAACAAATTAGACATTAAAGTTTTCTTCAAAGAAACAGACACCCATGCCCTGCTTTATAAAACCAGTCACCACCCCAAACACACATACAGGGGCCTATTGAAATCACAATTACTCCGTTTCCACCGTATCTGCACCCACAAAAGCGACTTCATGACGGCCACAAAAACGCTTTTCAGAGCTCTCGCCACCAGGGGCTATGTACGCTCCTTCCGGCGGAAGGCACTCAGCACCTTTCTGGAAACAAAACCAGTAGACACGTCGGATGTACTCCCCTTCGTCACCACCTATTCCAAGCCAGCAATCGCCCTGTGCAGAAAAATCAAGGACAATTTTCAACAAAAAATCATTGATCCAGGACTCCTAAATAACCACAGGTTCATAGCGGCCTATAGGAAAAACAAAAACCTCCAGGACTATCTGGTGACAGCCAAAATTAAGCCCCTATCGACCTCAAAACCCAGAGGCTATGGCCAATTTTTCAAACATGCCACCTGGATCCACAGCCATGTCAATAAAACAGTCCATAGGACCATGGCATGTGGTAATCCACACTCCAAAAATTGCGTGTATCTTATTTCATGTCTCATGTGCGGCCTACAGTATGTGGGTGAGACCAGAAACACGCTCTTACAGCGGTTCACCCAACACCGCTACAACATCCAGAGACGGAGGGAAACCCACACGCCTCTGGTCAGCCATTTTCTGGCCCATGGATGGTCGTCTGTCCGGGCCACGATCATCCAGATGGACCCCAGCTGGAACGCCACACAGAGAACCCGAGCTGAAAGGACATGGATAAGAAAATTAGAAACAATACACCCCAAAGGCCTCAACCTCAAATAAGAGCTTTCCTGATCTGGAGCAGGATGGCCCGTGCATGGAGCCTCGACACCGCTGCGCGGTGCCGAGACTCATCCACTTTCTCTATCCTAACACTATAGAACCATCTGGCTTGAATATAAAATATAACTAGAGGTTAAATTAAGTATTTACAACTTTAAGTGAGGGTTGGAGGCCCAGGAATGGCGTCCTTTTGTAGTTTTCCTCTCTTTTTCCTGTTTCTCTCCCCTCCATGTTTGATCCTAATGTCTGTTTTTCTCCCTTGTCTCTGTGTCTGCCATGTTTGTGTTTATTCGTGGTGTGTATAGTCAACCCTAACCTCTCCTGTGCCTTTCTCTAACCCTAACCTCTCCTGTGCCTTTCTCTAACCCTAACCTTCCCCCCCTTGCCTAAACCTAAGACTCTCACCCCTAAGCTGGCCTGTGACCTTTGACCGCTCACAATAAAAATTAAAGGCAGAGCCTCTGGCCCCTAAGGACAGGCCTGCTTAGTATAGTTGTCAGTCTGGACACAAAACACAAATTATAAATAGTTTTTTTAGTCATTTAGTATTAAAATTAGTTTAAAAAGACTTTACACTGATAAATAGTTATAAATATTAATCATATAAACTTAATAAATACATAGACAAAATCTTAGGTTAAATTACACTCATAATAGTTTAAAATAGGTCCAGCCCATATTTAGAATAAATAGACAACTTAATTCATGATTTGACAGTAAAATACTTAATAAATAACACTTATCTTCAAAATTAATAATTTATATTTAACCCCTAACATAGACAAACAATTCATAAAGTAAAATACTAATTAGATTTATTAAAAAGCAAAAACAAATCTGTCCAACTAACACACAATCAAAAAGTGCTTTTATTTTGGTAACACGAACTTCCAATCAGCAGTTCGGAGGAGGGTATAAAAGGAGGAAAGGAGACACACAGGCTCACTCCTGCTCTGACTACGGTACAGACAACAGCTCTGCCAGTCACATGCAAAAGATACCTCTCACTCTAAGAACTTTCAAATTTTACAAAGTGTGCCTTCGCCTGAAGAAGACCGCAAAGGTCGAAACGTTGCGCACAGGCACACACTAATTAGGAAAATCCTTTAAATATTAAAATTTACTTTTAGGCTTAAGACACTTTTTGTCTCTCTTTAAGTTTCACTTTTGGTTTTGGATTTTGATTTTTTTTGTTGAGCTTATTATATAAATACATTAGTTTAGCAATAAATATATACAAACTATAATTAATTAAATACACCGCTCGTCAAGAGCCCATCAGAGGGCCACAGTGTGGTGTATAAGGAGGATTATTATTTAAATACACCGCTTAACTGTCCATCAGAAAATTGGATCACTCATAGAGGATCATGGGATACAATAATGATGAAGACTGGCATACAGTCAGACATGGCAGACGTCAGGGCCGCTCTCGGGAGCAAAGACAGTACACAAACAATACGGCCTACGCAGGAAAGAGAGCGTACTGGGTGATGGACCGCGCATCTCCAAACCCTCGTTACAGGAGGGGGCGGACTCAGTCCCAATATCCTAACCGGCCAGTGCCTCCTCAAGGCCGCTCGTATCCTGCTAGGCCTCCACATGACCCCAGAGGTCGTTCATATGCTGACGTGGTTAAACATGGCCACCACAAAACACAATCAGGGAATGCTAACACAGTGTTCCAACAGAGAAATGTCACCAAGCACCAGAGGGGGTTGCTGTTACATCCAGAGATCAAAACACAGCACCAACAGACCCAAAGTTTGGGCGGCTGGTTCGACAGTTACATAAAATCATCAAAACAGTGCACCACTACCAGAATGTAGCCATAGAACAGGAAAAACCGGCTCCTAAGATGATCACCAGAATGGTGTACAACTTGGCCAATATGATCAAGCCGGCTTGTCCAAATGCAGACACGGCTGACTTAATTGTGGGGAATGCTCAGAATTGGGGCCACACCACTATGCAAATCCTGCAAGAACATTACAAGGCAGTTCTGGACCAACTCTTAACAGATCTTAAGAGCGATCATGTTACAGAGTGGACAGATGCCTTCAATGTAGCGGCAAAGTGGGCACGCAAAAACCTTCCACATTTAAGCCAGGAGGTCATAGACCACGCAAAAGCTCTCGTTTCCTCACTGGGAGACGGGACACAGGACACAGGAAGGAAAGAAAGTCCAAGACAGGACCCAGACAAAGACCGAGACAGAGACCGGGGACAAGAGCAGACAGACCGAACGGTACCAACACAACAACAAACACCACCACCACCACCGCCACGACATACACAACCACAGACTGAGACAACGGAGAAACACAAAACTCCACAGAACACACAAACAAATGAAACAGGGGGAGACTCTGTTCTACGTGCACAAACGGAGGAAATAGAGAAAGAGAGACAGAGCCAAGATGGCGCTCAGTTTCCCGCTCTGCAGACCCCACAGAGGGAAGTGCCTAGGCCACAGAGATCACGTAGGACATTTGAAAGCCGAAACCCATGTGTTGTGACAGAAAACAATGCAGCGTGTGCAATTGAAGTAGTAGCACAAGTTTTGCCTGTTAGAACGCCTAAAGTACCACCAAGGGTTACACGAGCGGTTGATTCACTGTTGACGGACGGTTCGACTAACGTGGCAGACGAGACTCCCAGCCTGACACCAATACCTAGGCCCACAGAGCCTGAGTTGGGTTCTCCAGGTGAGCAGGATGCCACGGATCGGTCGAACACGTCCGAGCAACGGGAAGAGCAACTTAGCTCGGGCCAGGTCAACACTTCTACTCCAAAGCAGCACCTGTACAGAGTTAAAAGACACATTAACACAGATAGAAAGATGACAGATTGGAACCTTACTGTGTGGAAGAAGTGGCTCGTAATGGGGGATTCCAACCTTTCACGCATTCCGGGCCATACGCTCTCGGATTTGCAGGTGGAGAGTTATCCAGGAGCCAATTTCAGACACGCAGAGTCCATTCTATCTAAAGCGTCCACGTTGGTTTGTGTGGAGAAGGTGGTTTTGTCCTTTGGTCTCAACAGTCGAGGACAAAAGGCAAAAGAGACAGCAATAAAACAAATGCAGGCAGCATTAAGGATGGCTAAAAAGAAATTTCCTTACGCTGAGTTATGGATCCCCCTCATTAACTTTTCTCATACTCTAACGGCTCCAGAGAAGCTTTGTCTCCAAAAGATCAACGCTCACATACAGAAAAACATGCCATACATTCCGCTGTTGTCGGAAAGCGAATTCGAGACAGAGAGTGACTCAGTGCATTGGTCCAGGGCAACAGCCAGATCTATGCTACGACACTGGTGCAACTATTTAAACTCAAGGACCCCTTAAGTCCACAAGTGGAAGGGGAAAAGAGTAGGGTGCCGCTGACATCACAAAATGTGGTAAATCTGTACGGAGCGTTTAAACCAACAGAGGCCCAACTGAATCTCCTGAACAGAGGGTTAACCTTTGTACCAACCCTGGATGTACATAAAAATCAACAAATACAATTGGAACTGGACCTACAAAACTATCACCGAAAGCTTAAATTAGGAATTTTCTTTAAAAACACAGCACAAAGTAGGCCAACGCCATTCACATTTCCATCTAACTGGACTCCTCCTATGTCTGATTTGCCTAAAGAATTACACTCATTGATTGACAAAGATTACGATAATTTCAAACATGATTATAAGTGGCATAAAGAAGACGCAAACTTATCACAGGAGGAAGTAACAGCATTAAGAGAACTTATGCATAACAAGCAGATAGTCATCAAGCCCGCTGACAAGGGCAGCGCTATTGTCATCCTAAGCAGGGAACAGTACATCACCGAGGTCCAACGCCAATTGCGGGATAGTGTATATTACAAAAAATTAAAAGACCCCATCTTTCCAGAATCAATTCCGTTGGTACACGAAATTTTGAATAGGTTATACAAGAAAAAATACATTAATGCAAAACAGAAGCGTTATTTAAAAGGGGAAGGCCCTCCCAGAGAAAGGAGATTCTACATTCTGCCCAAAATCCACAAACCTCCAGAAAAATGGAGTGTTCCATACCAAGTACCTCCAGGACGACCAATAGTTTCAGACTGCAGTAGTGAAACATATCACACTGCAGAGTTTATAACTCATTTTTTAACTCCCTTGTCCACAAAGCATCCGGCATATGTAAAAGACACATATCATTTCATTGAAATTGTAAAAGGACTAAAAATTCCACCTAATTCGTTGTTGTTTACTATGGATGTAGAAAGTCTATATACAAATATTGATATACCTGCAGGATTGCAGGCGGTCCAAAAGGCATTCAACAAATATCCGGATGATTTGAGGCCTGACAGGGAGTTACTGCAGCTACTGGAAATAAATCTAACTAAAAATGATTTTGAGTTCAATGGCGAATACTTCTTACAGATCAAAGGAACCGCAATGGGAAAGAGATTTGCGCCAGCATACGCCAATATATTTATGGCGAACTGGGAAGAAGAAGTACTAGCATTATGTAGCATTAAGCCATTCCACTACTTGAGGTACTTGGATGATGTGTGGGGAGTATGGACCAATTCCATAGAAGAGTTTGAAAAGTTTGTTGACACCTTAAATAACCATGACCCATCCATTAAAATAAAACACGTAGTTGACAAAAGGACTATCGACTTTCTTGACACAACTGTTTACATAGGACCCTCGTACGAACTGACCCAAACACTGGACATTAAAGTTTATTTTAAGACCACTGACACACACGCCTTATTATTCAAAAACAGCTTTCATCCACGACATACATTTAAAGGCATTGTGAAGTCACAGTTGCTAAGGTTTTACAGAATCTGCACGCAGGAAGAGGAATTCCGTGTAGCAGTGAACACCCTTTTTAAGGCCCTTCGGGACAGGGGATATTCTAGGAGCTTCCTGAGATATTGTCTTCGTACTTTTCAAACTCAAAAACCGAGAGACACTAAAGACATGATTCCACTGGTCACAAACTTTTCAACAATAAGTACAGGTTTAAATAGAACATTCAAAAACAACTACAAAACCTTCATGGAGGACACAGGCCTACTGCAGAATCACAAAATC